GAAGAAGCCGCTGAAGTACTGGAGTCGCACATTGTTACATCGTTAACTCCCGGATGTCAGCACTTGATTCTGATTGGCGATCATCAGCAACTCCGTCCCAATCCCACAGTCTACGACCTCGCTAAACACTACAACCTAGACGTGTCACTATTCGAGAGAATGGTGAAGAATGGAATGCCTTTTGAACGACTGCGTTTGCAGCATCGCATGCGACCTGAAATCTCCAAAATGCTGGAGCACATTTACGTCAATCCGAAGCTGGAAAATCACGAATCGGTGCTGAATTTCGACAACATTAAGGGCGTGGCTCGTAATGTATTTTTTGTGGACCACAATGAAAGCGAGGTGAGTACCCAGCTGTTTATTTGTATTGTACAAGCTGTGATTGTTTGCAATAAAAATACATGTAGTAAAGACAATTCCTTTGTGACGAAAAATTATCAATTTGATCAAAAATTAAATAAGGCTTGCTTAAAATTATTTTGTGACAGCTATTGGTCAGGCGAACATGCAGCAGGTGTATGACCGTACATACAGAATTATATATCAGTTTCTTCAGTTTGATAAGTGAATTAATCGGTTGTTTTGTTTACTGACTACTCTAATTTTAAAGACACTGCTCGTGAGCACGAACAGTGTAATCGAGCCTCGTGATCGAGCTCATTATACGCGATCAAATCTCTCCCTAATATTCTCTTCTTTTGCTGCTGTTGCTGTTGTTGTTGCAACACACGTTTTGTTCTGTTCGTTTTTACAGGATTTTAATAAACTGAAAGAAGGAAAAAGCAAGTCAAATAAACACGAAGCCAAATTCATGGCCGCCCTCTGTCGTTACTTCATCCTCCAAGGCTACGAGAGAGAGCAAATCACAGTCCTCACAGCCTACACTGGGCAGTTATTCCAGCTCAAAAACGAAATGCCTAAAGATTTCTTTTGTGGAGTTCGAGTCTGCGCAGTGGATAATTTTCAAGGAGAAGAAAATGACATCATTCTTTTATCACTCGTTCGAAGTAACGAGAAAGGCAAAATCGGTTTCCTTCAGATAGAAAACCGTGTTTGCGTGGCGTTGTCTCGCGCTAAGAAAGGGTTTTTCTGTATCGGTAACATCAGTCTTTTGGAAACTAAGAGTGCATTGTGGAGGGGGATCGTCAGTGACATGCGCGAGCGTGGGAATGTAGGAAAAACATTGATGCTGATGTGCCAAAACCACCCGAAAAACGTGATCCAGGCGTCATGTGCTGAAGACTTTAAAAAGGCACCAAATGGAGGCTGCAGCATACCATGTGCCACGCAACTCGAGTGCGGTCACGTGTGTGACATGATGTGCCATCCAGTAGACCCAGAACACAAAGAATACGAGTGCCAGAAGCCCTGCACTAGGAAACCGTGTGCGCTGAATCATAAGTGCCCCAGGAAATGCTATCAAGAGTGCGGGCCTTGTATGAAGCCTTTAGAAAAGACCCTTCCAGTTTGTGGCCATCTTCAAAAGGTTCCTTGCTACATGTGCGAGGATCTTTCCCTAGTCAAATGCCAAACGTCCTGTGTGAAAACCTGGCCATGTGGACATGAAATTGCGACAAAATGTCACGTGGATCCACTGCGCACTCCATGCGAGATTCCTTGCGGTGCGACCTTGAACTGTGGACACCCTTGCACTGGTAAGTCTGACGGGAACAAATAACGTCACAGGTCACAAACTAAAATTTGTGTTTTTTACCACGAGAATTTGGAACTCATCGTTGCACTTTAAAAGAATAGACTTTATCATATCGTATTATTAAATTCAGGCTACAAATTTTCCAGCTTTTCTGTTCGTCCTGTTCTCGTATGTAATCAGCGAATGACAAACAGTTGACCGTATGTGGTAAGAGACGATTCTTTTCAAATTTTGTCTGGCTTAACAAGAAATTTCGTAAAACAATGGCTGAAATCATTGATTAAATTAGCTCAAATTGTGTCAAATTGAAGGGCAAAAAAAGTGTACATGGTTTTGTAGAGGATTTATTTTCTAATCTCTTATGTACTTTAGTTTTTCATTTATACTAGATGACTGCAGTAGCTGTCTGAGTGGTCGAGTCCATGTGTCATGCAAGGACAGGTGTGGCCGCACACTGCTCTGTGGGCACAACTGCACCAAGTCATGCGCCAAAAACTGCCCTCCCTGTAGAAAAAACTGTAGCAATTACTGCAAACACAGAAAGTGCACGAAGAAATGTGGTGAACCTTGTGATCCTTGTTTCGCGAAATGCATCTGGCAGTGCCAGCATCATAAATGTACGAAACTATGCAGGCAGCTCTGCAATCGTCCACGATGTGACGTGTCATGTACAAAGCTACTTCCCTGCGGGCATCCCTGTATCGGTCTCTGTGGGGAAATATGCCCGAAGAAGTGCCGCGAGTGTCACAAAGACGAGTTGACGGAGATATATTTCGGAACCGAAGATGAGCCGGACGCAAGATTCGTGGAGCTGGCAGACTGCGGTCACGTGTTTGAGGTTGAAATGATGGATCAGTGGATGGACCAGGTGGAAACAACGCATGACGGGAAGCCTGTTGATGTTCAACTCAAACTCTGCCCAAAATGCAGGGTTCCCATCCGCACCAGTTTAAGGTACGGCAACATCATTAAGAAAATTCTGGCAGACTTCGAACGAATAAAACAGAAGATTGTACTCGACAAAGGACAGCTTGACAGAAAGGTAGCGATGCTCAAAGGGAAAGTGGAGGAGATTGGTCAATTCCCCGAAGACCAAGAAGAAATCAAAAAAAGGCTGAATTATCCGAGTCTCACGGATGAACGCATCAACGTGATTGACAACCAGATCAGGTTATTGTCCTTCCTTCAGCCACTCAAGGCTAGCATGGGCTATTTTGAAGCTGACGAACGGTTCCAGGAAACGAAGGAAGACCTCGAAAGTAAAGTGGAACAACTCCGAAAACGTGTGATGAGATTTTGGTTTCCAGTCAGTGGCCAAGAACTTGAAGAGCTCAACGAAGAAATGTACAGAACACAGCTTCTTATCGACTTCAGAATGCTGATGATGCAGCTGGACATCCAGGGTATTAAGCTTGGAGTCACTGACACTGTAAAGGTTAATTTCGTTAAAGAAGCTTTTGATTCAGAGAAGGCAATTGGTAAGAGAATAGAAAAAGGGCGAAAACGTAAAAGGAAATTAATATTTGGGAGCTGTTTAGTCCAAGTAACGGCCGGGAGAGACTAGGTAAAAGGGATTTATTGCACCTGGGAGAACTTAGAAAGTCTTCGATTGGCTGAATGGCCCTTAGAAAAATTCACCTCTCAACTCGACTATGTCTCCGCCTTTCAGTTAGCGTGCTTAGCTGGCGGAATTTTCCAGGCTACCCTTCAATTGATGTTTACCGAGGAGCGTTTTCATTTTTCACTTCGTCGAGCAGTCATGTGCATATGGCCCCAAATGAAATTCACGTTTGAGCCTGCAGGAAAAAGTGCTTGGTTTGCATAAAAAGAAATGATTTGAAATGATTCGTTCTACCAGTAGTAAAATAAGCTTGATTCTCATCTCGAAGTGGTACTGAGAGGTGAGAAACAAACGGCAAGGTGCTACATCAGGCGCTTGTTCATATTTTTGCTCAGTCTCCCCAGGCTTGGGCTGACTCTTGGGTTCTGTCTATCGTCGTTTCCGCTTCTCCCTGTAAGGAAAGGCAATTTTTCCGCTCACATTTACGTTTGGATTCCGCCATGTGAAGAAAAGTGTAATTGTATGCAAGCGCAAAGTTTAACTCGTACAATAATCCGTGCAGTATACAAGGTTAGCTTACTGAATCGTCTGAAAAATCCGAAAACTCTTGGACTCGTGGGGTGTTTTTACTAAGGATTCACCATTCTGATGTGTTGTCTAAGCCTTTTAGTGGACTTCTGGCAAGCTATCGCAGTATAATAACGCGCTATTGATAAATGTAAGACATTTTAATTGCTAGTATTGTGCAACATTTTTAGACAAGAAACGTCGAGAGCAATACAGGGCTCGTATTGAACGAATCAGACGTGAACAGGGCCTTCAGGAGCCTTACCAGGCTGTAAAAAGAGAGGAAAAAGTTCTGATCGTGAAGACCGTGGGGTTTACACAGGGACACTGGTTCAAGTGTCCTTACGGTGGGTGTGACTTAAGGTGGCCGAACACTGTTTTCGCGCGCGCTTTTGCTGATGCAAAACATGCCTTCAATAGAGCGATCATTTTATTCAGTTACTCAACACCCGCACTATATGCGCTATTTTTCTCCATTATTGAACGCAGTGTACTGATGCGTTTAGTCTTTTATTACAAAGCTATGTTAGAAAAGGTAACGACGCAAAGAACCCAGCAATTCTCAGCTTTTTCTTTGTTACCTAAAGAACATAGTTAAATGCAGCGCATGCGCAGTTGCTCGAAAAATTGAGACCGATTGCTTTTGCAGAAACTTGCCGATTTCNTGATTCTGATTGGTGATCATCAACAACTCCGTCCCAATCCCACAGTCTACGACCTCGCCAAACACTACAACTTGGACGTGTCGTTATTCGAGAGAATGGTGACGAATGGGATGCCATTTACAAGACTGCGTTTACAGCATCGCATGCGACCTGAAATCTCCAAAATGCTGGAGCACATTTACTTTGATCCCAAGTTGGAAAATCACGAATCGGTGATGAATTTTGACAACATTAAGGGCGTGGCTCGTAATGTATTTTTTGTGGACCATGAAGAAACTGAGGTAGGTACCCGAGCACGTATTGTCTCTATGAATAGGCTATATTTCTATTCTTGGTATTGGATTGGAACTAGCTAGCCTTGCAACTGAGACTAATGCAGGGAGCCTTTTCTAATACGAATGATAGACATAAATCTTTTTTTAGTAATATCCCCACGCACGAGCCTCCGTTGCTACAATCCTGGCCAAACAAAAGTCCTTGGGACACTTGACAAAATAATAATTCAATTTTCCTACCACACCCCCTCCCCCCAAGCAATGTTGGAATAGTTGGTCTACTTTGGATAAATCAATCAACATCAACATTGTACTGGGGAGAGGGAGTGGGGGTAGGTTGACACTGAGAAAGATTATATGTTGGCAAAAGTGCAAAGTGTCCCACGACTTTTGACCAGGATGATAGTATGTAATTTTCGATGGTTTGACAAGCGGGCTCGTGTTCTTTTTGAGTGATGTAAACTCGCGAGCGTATTTATGAACAAACAAAGGGGAGCCCTTCAACTCACGAAATCTGTTACAATTGTTTTTTCATGAGAAAATAGAACAAGCATGCCAGCTTGCTGCCTCAGTCGTGTTTCGTAATTTGCACTCAAGTAAGACTAAGAACAAAATTCGCTCAGATATTTTTTTTTCAAACAAATGGCACCTTCATATACAGTTCTGGTTGATCGTCTAGCGTAGGTACTGAAAGTAAATATTGAATAAAATTGGTAAAACAGTTCCTCTTTTTTTCGTCAACCCCTTATTGTGTTCTTTCATTTTGGGATAACTGCTACTAACAAACTACGTTTACTTTTTATGAAAACATTACAGGCAACACGAAGCCAGATTCATAACCGCTCTCTGTCGCATTACCCTACTTAAGCAATTGCCATCCCTATCTCCTTTCCTTTTTGAACTATTGACATTCTGATAACACGTTGTCTCTTAATTCTCCAATGCAGGATTTTACCCCAGAAGGAAAGAGCAGGTCAAATGAACACGAAGCTAAATTCCTGGCCGCCCTTTGTCGCTACTTCATCCTTCAGGGTTACAAAAGAAAACAAATTACAGTCTTAACAGCTTACGTTGGCCAGTTAACACAGCTCAAAAAGGAACTTGTGCCTAAAGATTTCTTTAGCGGAGTTCGAGTCTGCGCAGTGGACAATTTCCAAGGCGAAGAAAGTGACATCATTCTTCTGTCACTTGTTCGAAGTAATGAAGAAGGCAAAATCGGTTTCCTCCAGATAGAAAACCGGGTTTGCGTGGCGCTCTCACGCGCTAAGAAAGGGTTTTTCTGCATCGGAAACATCAGCCTATTGGAGGCAAAGAGTACACTGTGGAGCAAAATAATCAAAGACATGCGAGAGCGCGGGAATGTGGGAAAAGCATTAACGCTCACGTGCCAAAACCACCCGCAAAACGTGAGCGACGGGTCATGTGCTGATGACTTCAAGACTTGGGCACCAGACGGAGGCTGCACCGTGCCATGTGCCAAGCTACTCAAGTGCGGTCACGCGTGTGAGATGTTTTGTCATCCGACAGACCCAGAGCACGAGGACTACGACTGTAAAAAGCCATGCACCAAGAAAAAGGCGCACTGCCCACTGATTCAGAAGTATTCCGGGAAATACTACCAAGCGTGTGGGCCTTGTATGAAAAGGTTTAGAGAGAACCATTTTCAGGGTGGTCCTTGCTACATCTGCAAGAATCAGTCTACATCGATGTGCTTCCGTGTGTGCTTAAAAAGATGGCCTTGTGGACATGAAAACGAGACGGAATGTTACGTGGATCCACTTCTCACTCCATGTAAGGCACCTTGTGGTGTGACATTAAAGTGTGGACACCCTTGTGCCGGTAAGTCTTTCAGGAACACAGTCACATCTATGAACTTTCGGATCAGGGTATCGGGAGGTCAAACTCCAAGAAGTGAAGTAACAGTATAACAATTCAATCCAGTGCTTCTCTTCTAGTTCAAATTAAAGTTTGTTTCAAAACGAGCTTGTATTCGTAGCTGTGAATAAAACCAGAAAATTTTAATCCTACTTCGTCTCAGGGGCGGATTTGGGGAAGGGGTGGATGGGGTGGCTAGCCATCTCACTCTTGGGGCAGCGAAAATGAAACAAGAAGATTGCGAATATTTGGCAGAAGTAAAGGCAATAACTCAGGACCGGTACCTCATTGTAATTTCTAGTTTGTGGCATTGCTAGTATTTCTGTTGTAACAGTTTTAAATTGGGTTTTAATTCTCAAATTGCAACATTTTGGAGCCATGTTTCATTGTTCTGCAACCCCAAAGTACTAACCACCCTTCCCCTCTTGAAAAATACTGGATCCGCTCTTGCGTCTTCCTTGGAAGTTGAGCTGAGACACTCTCAGCGTTCCGAGTGTTTAAGTTCACGCGTGAATGACCATCGTATTTGTAGAGATTCCTCTGTTACAAACGTTCAACTTTGAAACTTGAACGGTGATATTGAGATTAATATTGACAAGTTTAGAAGTTTCAAGTCTAACTCTGACTAAATACTGATGTGTAGCTTTTTTATGTATATTAGGTGACTGCAGTCGTTGTTGGTGTGGTCGAGTCCATGAGCCATGTGAAGCAAAGTGCGACCGTACCTTGTTTTGCGGTCACAAGTGTAAAGGACGGTGCAACAAAACCTGCCCTCCGTGCAACGAACACTGCGGCAACTATTGCAAACACTACAGGTGTAACAAGAAATGTGGTGAGCCTTACGAACCTTGTAACGAAAAATGCATGTGGCAGTGTCAGCATTACACATGCACGAAATTGTGTGGAGAGCTGTGCGACCGCCCAAGATGTAACATGCCATGTACAAAGCTACTTTGGTGCAGGCATCCTTGCGTCGGTCTCTGTGGGGAAGTATGCCCGAAGAAGTGCCGAGTGTGTCACAAGCAGGAGTTGACAGAGAGTTTTTTCGGCACCGAGGGCGAACCGAACGCAAGATTCGTGGAGCTGGCAGACTGCGGTCACGTGTTTGAAGTTCGAATGATGGATCAGTGGATGGAGCAGGCGGAAACAACGCATGACGGGAAGCCTGTTGACATCCAACTCAAGCTCTGCCCAAAATGCAGTGTTCCCATCCGCATCAGTTTAAGGTACGGCAACATCATTAAGAAGATTCTGGCAGACTTCGAACGAATAAAACAAAAAATTTTACTCCCCAAAGGGCAGCGTGACCAAGAAGTAGCCAGGTTCAAATTGAAGTTGCAGGAGATTGACAAGTTCCCCAAAGACAAAGATGTAATCGGGAGGTTGCTGGATCATAAGAATCTCTCGGTTGAACAAATCAACGTGATTGACAATCAAATCAGTTTGCTGTCTTTCCTTCAGACACTCGAAAATGATATAAGCTATTTTGAAGCTGATGAACGGTCTCAGGAAACGAAGGAAGACCTCCAGAGAAAAGTGGAACAACTTCGAAAACGTGTGTTACGGCTTCAGGTTCGATTCAGTGACCAAGTAATGGAAGAGCTCGGAGAAGAAATGTACAGAACACAGCTTCTGATCGACTACAGAATGCTGAAGATGCAACTTGACATCCGGGGTATTAAGCTAGGGGTCACTGACACTGTCAAGGTCGATTTTGTTAAAGAAGCATTCGATTCAGAGAACACAATTGGTAAGAACAGAAATTGAAAGGAAATTAAGATTTAGGAGCTGTTTTGTGTAAGTAACTGCCGAGAAAGACTAGAAAAAAGGGAGTTATTGCCAACCAGAAGAATTTTCGTTTCCGCTTCTACCTGCCTAGCACAGAAATGCATCATAATGGAAGGAAAGGCAAGTTTTGGTCTCTCGCATTTAAGTTTGGATTCCGCTGTTTGAAAAAAAGTGTATTTGTACGCGCAAGCGCAAGATTTTACTCTTACAGTAGTCCTTGCAATATTGAATCGTCTGAAAAATTGGAAACTCTTGGGGCGGTTTTACTCCAGATCCACCATTAAAAAGCTACATGTGTTGTCCTAGCATTTTACTGTACTACAGGCACGCTATCCCGATATAATCACGTACTATTGGTAAGTATAAGAAATTTAATAGTTTTTTTTTTGCAACATTTTCAGACAAGAAACGCAGAGAGCGATACAGGGCTCGCATTGAACGAATAAGACGTGAACAAGGCCTTCAAGAGCTTAACCAGACTGTAGCAAGAGAGGAGAAAGATCTGACCGTGAAGGCCATGGGGCTGACACAGGGACACTGGTTCAAGTGTCCAAACGGTGAGTGTGACTTTAACATCAATGTGCAAAATTAAATTAATGCTTTTCATACAAATTCTCTTTGGGAAAATTTGGATAGTAACTTTTTTTGAAATGACTCGTTCGTTTTTGACGTACAGGTCGTGCAGGAATGTCCGTTTGCCGAACTCGTCACACAGACAAGAGAGTCAGACATATTAAAAAATATCGTATTAGCCCTTGGTCCGTATACTGAAAGTTACGGATCCTCGTATTTTCCACTTCGATTTATGCCCACGCGAGATCAGAAGCGCGCGTGCCGTAAATCAGGGTCCGTAACTTATAGTACGGACCTCAATCTCGGTTTGTAAGAGGCATCAATCTTCTTTATTTTGTACTCATAGCTGCATTAAAGGTCAGTTACACTATATTTCAATCGACTGATTAGATCTTAGTTGATTTCACTGGCTTTCCAGTTATGTTCCTTTTCTCTCTGCCCCGATCTTCTCTCTTTACTCGTTTTTTGTTTCCTACCCATAAAGGTCACATCTACTGCATCACAGAGGGTGGAGGAGCGATAGAAGAAAACAAATGCCCAGAATGTGACTCAAGAGTTGGTGGCCATAATCATCAGTCATGAGCAAGAAGCCAGCTACTTGGAAAACGTCCTATGCGACGACTTCTTCTTGGCCAACAAACACAACAGTTTGTTAACACCCAAGAGACTTTCTGTGACTTTCTGTAACTAAGGTACCAGCTTAGGCATTATGACTGATCTAACAATTAATCATTTAGCAAAAACTAGCCAAATGTAAGGAACTTTTCCTCGCGCTTTAATTTGATGAAACGGGTCTTTGTTTCGATTTTTAAGTGGCAAACTGAAAAACTTGTTCTCCTGTGTGGCAGCTTTTAAAATTGCTTGTATTTTGCGTTGAAATTTTAACAGTTCTGCTTTAAAGTAAGAAATTTCATCTACATTTTTCAAGCAAGAGTCCTATCAATTGATTTTTTCGTTGCTTTTTGCAATTTTGCCGGGCTAAAATCCAAGCAGGGTCTTGAGTAGATAATGTTCTAATCGGCGTAGTTAACCGAATATTAAGCGTGTTAAGTCGTTTCATTTGTGATTTTTATCACTTGAACATAGCGAATAACATAGATAGAGATTAAGGTTGAATTCAAGGTATTCCTTTAATTTGAAACATATTGGTTACCAGATTAGATTGCAAAGAAGCCCTGCAGGTTGGGAAGCTAAGAAGGGCTTCTCGACTAAAGTTATTCTCAACATAATACCGGATTCCGATTAAACAGTTGACGTTTACTGTCAAAATGACTGGAGATGTTTTTTCACTGGAGCTCCTTCGCTTTACTGGGTGCAACGAGAATTGTCCGTTTCTTTTTTGGATCGAAAAGTGGTGTAATTGTCCTTAAAAAACGTCCAAAACAAGACTCTTCAATGTCTGTTTTTATTTTAATTCGTATTTTCTGTACTCCTCAGAGCTTCAAAGCGAGTACCTCAAACACTAGCTAACCCATTATGTGGATGATCACTTTACACAATTACTGTGTATACTACATGAATTAACAAGAAAAATATTAAACTCCTCTGTCTTCCCTCACTCCAGAAACGTCGGCGTTATTGGTTTCAAGCTTTGGTGGGCTTTTGATTGTTAAAAAAAAAAAATGTGATAGGTGAAAGTTGTACACCAATTTGAAAAGTTATTGTTTGTTGTGGGCAAATGATGAAAAAAATCTAACGACTGAATTTTTTTTAAATAAACAAAAACCATTTTTAAGCCTTCTTTTTAACCAGCCCCGTTGCCATGGCAACAGCACTCACCTTAGCCAAAATGTGAGAATAAACCCTTCTGTGGTTAACTTTGACTCTTGCAAAAAATGGGCGCCAAAGCATAAATATCTTTAAAGTAATGGTGAATTAGGCAGAGGCTCTTGAAAACTGTGTTCGGCCACCAAGTGGATCAATGTTATAATTCACTGCCTAGGCCTATGGGGGATTTGGTTAGCAGTTTCCTGAACTCGTCAGACACACAGTAGAGATCTAATTATATCTTATTTACCTCGTCCCCCGGTCTGTACTGTAAGTTATGGATCCTCGTACTTACCACTTCAATTTATGCCCAGACGAGAAGAATGCGGGACATAAACCAAAGGCGAGAACACTCGGTCGGTACCTTAAACTATGTTAACGAGAGGTATTCAATAATTAGTAGTATAGGTGCCTTTTACGCGTCTCCAAGAGACCATGATTTCACAGTTATTCGCTGTTTTTTTCTCTCGATCTGCCAGACATTTGTCTCCTATTTTAAATTTTATTGCAGTTTCAACTTCTTGTTTTTCTTTTTTTAATCTGTTCTTAAAGGTCACTTCTACTGCATCAAAGAGTGTGGTGGAGCGATGGAAGAAAGCAAATGCCCGGAATGTGATTCACCAATTGGCGGCCATAATCACCGGTCGTAACCAATCACCTAGCTTGTGACTCGGATAACTCCCCATGGGACACCTTCTTCGATACACTGTAACCGATGCACAACAGCTTGATATGACACTTGTGACTTTCTGTGAACTTAGGTTTCGAAGTTTTTGTAAGGTACCAACTATCAGATAAGGTATGATGACTGATCTAAAACAACTATTAATTAATCATTGAGCAAAAAAAAAAGAAAGAAAAAAAGCCAAGGGAGAGGAAAATTACTTTTCACTTTTATTTTGATTCAATTTGATAAGTGTAGAAACTTGACGTTGTTTTCCTTTGTTGCATGTAGGTTTTTAAATTGCTTTTAGTATTGCCTTGAAATTCATAGTTCTGTTTTAAAGTAAGACGCTACTACATTATTCAGGCAAAAGTTTTATTAGTTAATTTGTTCGTTGGCTTTTTGAAATTATTCTTGGCTAAAATCTAAGTCCAGTCCTTAGCAGATAATGTTTTAAAATATTTAAATCCAAAAAGTTTGCTAAGCCGTTTATTTTTCGATTTTTTTCAATAGAACTAACCGAGCAACATAGATCAGAGATTATGCTTGACTTTAAGACATGCCTTTGAACCATATTGGGTCGGGAAATTAGATTGCAAAAGAACCTTTGAGTTTTATAATTTGATGGACAAGATGGGGCTCCATCGACTGAGGTTATTCTCAACACAATAGGTGGATTTCGTTGAACCTGTCAACGTTTACTATCACTGAGTCGAATGTGAGATTTTTTTTTTTTTTGACTGGAGCTCTTTCACTTTAAGAGTGCAATACGAATCCGCCGTAAGAAAAAAGATGGCGACTGGTACATTTACCCATAACTCTTAGCGCACGGAAACTTAACGCTCATAAAAATGTACAGACGCGTTCTAAAATCTTCAAACCTAACACACACAATGTCGATAGCACAGGCACAAATACCGCAAAAATCTGGCTTTCCTTGTACTTTACGGGCTGTATTAGGCTCGCATGGTATTGTGGTAAAACGTACAGCCGCCATCTTTTTTCCTACGAGGATTGCCGTCCATTTCCTTTTTGGTCGAAAAGTGGTTAAATAGTCCTTTAAAAAAAAAAAAACCTTCCAGAAAAGACTGTCGAATTTCTGCGTTTTTGTTTTAATTCTTATTTTCTGTACCTCTCAGATCTTCAGAGTTAGTAACTCAGACACAACTCCTCCCCCCACCCAAGTTAAAAAGTGTGTGAGGAGGGTAGGTGGCTAAATGCGTGTCTGCTGGACTTTGGAACCGAACGCGAATGATCTTCGTCCGAGCGAGCCTGGGGTCATGGGCAAGACAGGTTTTTTAGACGGGTACTGGCGTAGCCAGTGCAGGCTTTTTCCGTACATGTGTTCACGAATTACCTGTGTTAGCTCGCGATCAAGTAGATTCACCACCATGTTCGCTTTACTCCTCTTTCAGCCTAACTCCCACTCCCTAGGACGTTTTTCATATCTCCCAAAGCCTTTGCAGAGTTTGAATCCAAGATACGCTCCCGTGATCAAAATACGCTCGCCCTCCAAAAAAATGGGTATAGATGGGTAACAGCAAGTTGCTGTTACCCATTCCCTTGCTATGGAAACTGAGATTGGCTGGGTCTTAGTCAGCCTTCATCCGCCGAGACTATGCATTACCTTCCCTGATAGTAAGAGTTTGATACTGCTAAAAAATGCTTTCCAGATACAAGGGTTATGCATAACTTTTCTTTCAGATATTTAATGGTGCCAACGTTTTTATTGGGACTAAACAATGTTTTTAATCTGTAGACATAGTAGTCTCCCAGGGTCAATCTGGCTTGAGTTCGAAAGTGAGAAGACGATTTTCCCGGAAACGATTCGAATCTTTCTGAGAATATTAACTTGGTGTCTGTCTGCACTCCTGATACAGGGTATCTTGATCTTATTGTTTTAAGAATAAACGTGGATGCAAATAGTTGACCTGCTGCCTTTTTTTTTCTGGTTTGAAAAGGTTAAAACCTCTGCTGGAGTTTCACACTCATTAAAACAAAAACAGGTTATTTTAGAAATATTAACTTACCACTTCCTGCACCCCACATTTCCGGAAATGACATTGCAGTTTCTGAGAAATTCAGCTTGTGATTTGATTGGTTCACCATGCATACTAAGTTGCAGGATCGTATTTTATACTTGCCCCAACATACTTACCTTCTCTTGCTCGGAAAGTGGAACCACTTAATACGAAGATTATTTGCGGAGCATTGCGGTATATGATGATTGTGGAACAACTGGGCAATCGGCAAGTCCTTTGATGTTATACGGACGACATTTCACCGGACGGTATCTGGCTCAGTTGACTTCGTCGCACATTTCAGGTAACCTAACTAGCTCATCAGTTATCACGAATCTCTAAAAATTATCCCTAATGACTGTATAAAAGGACCCTAGTCAGCCTCCGCCATTTTCGAAGCCATCGAAACCCAATAAAGCCTTTTTCAGTATATAAGAAAAGAAATTATTGATATTGCATGGTGAAGCGAAACCTAATTGCTCTACTGTGTAATAGTTGTGTTCCTGAAAGTATGTTTAATTATCTTTAGTATTTTCACAGTGAGTGATAGATTTCGTTCGTTTCGGCATGCTCCGAATAAAATTTAATAGCCAAAGTCCTGCGTGTAAACGAAGGTGTGGCTGACTAGGGCCCTTTATCGGCACGATTTGTTTTTGACATAGTCAGCACTTAAGGGTAAGTGAGCAAGCAAGCCAGAGAGACAGAGTAACTTAGACTAAAACGATATTCTGAATTCACAAACCTAGTCGCAATTTGTGTGTGACGATTTGAACAACACCGCTAAATGAACGGTTGCGATGCCTCTGAATCGCGGCGAATTGGTCTTCTAAACGCTTTTATACAATCTAAATTACGTTTTCTATACTGAAATGGGAGTTCAAAACGCTGAACGTTTTCTTAATTGACACTTCCGCCTGTACACAGAGTTCAATGCAAATGCAATGTAAATGTTTTTCTGCAGGTTGCAGGTGGAAAAACCGAATTTAAGTTCGAACGAGTCTACTTAGGACTAGGGCCTCTTCAAATGAGCCCGGTCAACAGGACTGGCTCTCGCCTCACCGCTCTTTCCTTCGTGAAAATTTATGAAAAAAAATTTACTTACTACTTCCTTCCCTCTAGCCCGGGTGACCAAGACGAAACTTTTTTGACAAAATACTGTTGCTTCGCTTACGCAACATAGCGGCCAAAATGGCGCAATTTTTGCCCTGTATGTGTTTCCACTTCAGAAGCATGCGAATTAGCTTTATGAGTAAAGTAACAAGAGTGAACAAAGCTACGATAGTCGCGAACGATACACAGGTATATGTTCCACCATTTCCAGTGGTTTTGTTTCTTGGACTTCATCCCGGTCAACAGGGCTGAAATGAACAGACAACAAATTTTGTCCCGGTTCCCGGGTTCATACGGAGAGGCCCTTAGTACTTCCGATAATCTGAAGAACACTCCGGTTAGGCTAAATTAGCTTATAGAATGCTTGCAGATAGCCTTTACATTGGTGTTTATTCGACCTCAACTCGAATTAACATGTCATTTCAACCTGCAGCTTGCGAATTAGAAAAAAGATCATTAGCGTTGGGCGGACGTTGAAAGGATTTCGGAATTGACAAAAAGAATTGAATTGAAAGACTCTGAAAGAGATGTTTCTGAACTTCACAGAGTTCTTTACTTTGATCATGATTAGATGGGTTTTGCTTGATGTGAACAAATGTTGCTCGTGCGCGACTAAATGATATAGTTTCATTGTCATTAATATTTTTATTAAATTTATAACTGCAGTTCATTTTTAAATCTGTGTTTCTCAAGTTTAAAGATTACATTTCACAGAAATAGAGTTTTATGCTTCACTGACAACCAATAGTTACAAATTCTCATACTCAAAGTTTTGTTTTTGTTCCAGCCGCTCTATCCTGTTTCAGAGGTACCGTCAACTGATGGCCAAATGGCGAGGCCAAAGAGGTAGTAGAAGGGGAAGTGGAAAGAAATATGGAAGAGGCAGTGGAATGGAAGGTGGAAGGGATGCTGGAAGATGGGATGGAAGAGCTGGTACAAGAAGAGGAAGAATAGAAAATGGAACGTTGGGTCTTGGTGGCGACGGAACTCCAAGAAACCAGTTTGAGGTTAAGTTAGGATTCACGGAACTTCAAGCCCTGGAGACCAAAACCCCGGACGAAATCACCCTCCATTTAACATCGAGTCGATGTTTCCAAGCCACGGAGTATTTATTCAAACAGCAGTCAAAAATGGAAGATCAGTGGATTGTCCTGATCGTGAACATTGTTACGAAAGCCTGCGACAGCAGCTCCAAAGAGGGTCTGTTGAAGCTACTAAACCTGCTACCAGGGTCGTCGTTTCTCAATTTGCAACTCAGACCATACCTGAACAAGCTATCTGTTAACAGCTGCAGCTTACCTCCTTCTGACGTCGCGGTAGTTTTGAGAAATGTTGTGAAAATAATGAACGAATTGCTCCGAAGATTCCCGAGCTGTTATGCTGATCTTCCGTTATCCGACCTGTACTGTGGAACAAGAATGCTGTCTGACACAGGACAGTTAGCAGATGATGCCCTCGTGACGGAGGTGGATGAAATAATGAATTTGAGAATCCAAAAGGCCGAGGAGTTAAAGAGGAAGGAAGAAGAACGGCAAAAAAGAAGGAAGCCTCGCAGAGATGGTAAGATGACAACGTTTATGAAGTATTCCCTTTTTCAGAGGTTTTTGTCTGTCAATAAAATAAATGAACTTTCACTTCAGTATGTACTGATAAAACATATTTGGATTTTCTTTAGCTGGAGTGAACGATGATGTAAATCCACCGGAAAATTTTCGTAGGCTCTCTGTTGTTCCAACTCAGGAGGACATCTTGTCAGGAGGACGACCCTTCCTCAGAAGGAACAAAATTGATGGAAGCTACAATGACGTNTTAAAGTAAGACGCTACTACATTATTCAGGCAAAAGTTTTATTAGTTAATTTGTTCGTTGGCTTTTTGAAATTATTCTTGGCTAAAATCTAAGTCCAGTCCTTAGCAGATAATGTTTTAAAATATTTAAATCCAAAAAGTTTGCTAAGCCGTTTATTTTTCGATTTTTTTCAATAGAACTAACCGAGCAACATAGATCAGAGATTATGCTTGACTTTAAGACATGCCTTTGAACCATATTGGGTCGGGAAATTAGATTGCAAAAGAACCTTTGAGTTTTATAATTTGATGGACAAGATGGGGCTCCATCGACTGAGGTTATTCTCAACACAATAGGTGGATTTCGTTGAACCTGTCAACGTTTACTATCACTGAGTCGAATGTGAGATTTTTTTTTTTTTTGACTGGAGCTCTTTCACTTTAAGAGTGCAATACGAATCCGCCGTAAGAAAAAAGATGGCGACTGGTACATTTACCCATAACTCTTAGCGCACGGAAACTTAACGCTCATAAAAACGTACAGACGCGTTCTAAAATCTTCAAACCTAACACACACAATGTCGATAGCACAGGCACAAATACCGCAAAAATCTGGCTTTCCTTGTACTTTACGGGCTGTATTAGGCTCGCATGGTATTGTGGTAAAACGTACAGCCGCCATCTTTTTTCCTACGAGGATTGCCGTCCATTTCCTTTTTGGTCGAAAAGTGGTTAAATAGTCCTTTAAAAAAAAAAAAACCTTCCAGAAAAGACTGTCGAATTTCTGCGTTTTTGTTTTAATTCTTATTTTCTGTACCTCTCAGATCTTCAGAGTTAGTAACTCAGACACAACTCCTCCCCCCACCCAAGTTAAAAAGTGTGTGAGGAGGGTAGGTGGCTAAATGCGTGTCTGCTGGACTTTGGAACCGAACGCGAATGATCTTCGTCCGAGCGAGCCTGGGGTCATGGGCAAGACAGGTTTTTTAGACGGGTACTGGCGTAGCCAGTGCAGGCTTTTTCCGTACATGTGTTCACGAATTACCTGTGTTAGCTCGCGATCAAGTAGATTCACCACCATGTTCGCTTTACTCCTCTTTCAGCCTAACTCCCACTCCCTAGGACGTTTTTCATATCTCCCAAAGCCTTTGCAGAGTTTGAATCCAAGATACGCTCCCGTGATCAAAATACGCTCGCCCTCCAAAAAAATGGGTATAGATGGGTAACAGCAAGTTGCTGTTACCCATTCCCTTGCTATGGAAACTGGGATTGGCTGGGTCTTAGTCAGCCTTCATCCGCCGAGACTATGCATTACCTTCCCTGATAGTAAGAGTTTGATACTGCTAAAAAATGCTTTCCAGATACAAGGGTTATGCATAACTTTTCTTTCAGATATTTAATGGTGCCAACGTTTTTATTGGGACTAAACAATGTTTTTAATCTGTAGACATAGTAGTCTCCCAGGGTCAATCTGGCTTGAGTTCGAAAGTGAGAAGACGATTTTCCCGGAAACGATTCGAATCTTTCTGAGAATATTAACTTGGTGTCTGTCTGCACTCCTGATACAGGGTATCTTGATCTTATTGTTTTAAGAATAAACGTGGATGCAAATAGTTGACCTGCTGCCTTTTTTTTTCTGGTTTGAAAAGGTTAAAACCTCTGCTGGAGTTTCACACTCATTAAAACAAAAACAGGTTATTTTAGAAATATTAACTTACCACTTCCTGCACCCCACATTTCCGGAAATGACATTGCAGTTTCTGAGAAATTCAGCTTGTGATTTGATTGGTTCACCATGCATACTAAGTTGCAGGATCGTATTTTATACTTGCCCCAACATACTTACCTTCTCTTGCTCGGAAAGTGGAACCACTTAATACGAAGATTATTTGCGGAGCATTGCGGTATATGATGATTGTGGAACAACTGGGCAATCGGCAAGTCCTTTGATGTTATACGGACGACATTTCACCGGACGGTATCTGGCTCAGTTGACTTCGTCGCACATTTCAGGTAACCTAACTAGCTCATCAGTTATCACGAATCTCTAAAAATTATCCCTAATGACTGTATAAAAGGACCCTAGTCAGCCTCCGCCATTTTCGAAGCCATCGAAACCCAATAAAGCCTTTTTCAGTATATAAGAAAAGAAATTATTGATATTGCATGGTGAAGCGAAACCTAATTGCTCTACTGTGTAATAGTTGTGTTCCTGAAAGTATGTTTAATTATCTTTAGTATTTTCACAGTGAGTGATAGATTTCGTTCGTTTCGGCATGCTCCGAATAAAATTTAATAGCCAAAGTCCTGCGTGTAAACGAAGGTGTGGCTGACTAGGGCCCTTTATCGGCACGATTTGTTTTTGACATAGTCAGCACTTAAGGGTAAGTGAGCAAGCAAGCCAGAGAGACAGAGTAACTTAGACTAAAACGATATTCTGAATTCACAAACCTAGTCGCAATTTGTGTGTGACGATTTGAACAACACCGCTAAATGAACGGTTGCGATGCCTCTGAATCGCGGCGAATTGGTCTTCTAAACGCTTTTATACAATCTAAATTACGTTTTCTATACTGAAATGGGAGTTCAAAACGCTGAACGTTTTCTTAATTGACACTTCCGCCTGTACACAGAGTTCAATGCAAATGCAATGTAAATGTTTTTCTGCAGGTTGCAGGTGGAAAAACCGAATTTAAGTTCGAACGAGTCTACTTAGGACTAGGGCCTCTTCAAATGAGCCCGGTCAACAGGACTGGCTCTCGCCTCACCGCTCTTTCCTTCGTGAAAATTTATGAAAAAAAATTTACTTACTACTTCCTTCCCTCTAGCCCGGGTGACCAAGACGAAACTTTTTTGACAAAATACTGTTGCTTCGCTTACGCAACATAGCGGCCAAAATGGCGCAATTTTTGCCCTGTATGTGTTTCCACTTCAGAAGCATGCGAATTAGCTTTATGAGTAAAGTAACAAGAGTGAACAAAGCTACGATAGTCGCGAACGATACACAGGTATATGTTCCACCATTTCCAGTGGTTTTGTTTCTTGGACTTCATCCCGGTCAACAGGGCTGAAATGAACAGACAACAAATTTTGTCCCGGTTCCCGGGTTCATACGGAGAGGCCCTTAGTACTTCCGATAATCTGAAGAACACTCCGGTTAGGCTAAATTAGCTTATAGAATGCTTGCAGATAGCCTTTACATTGGTGTTTATTCGACCTCAACTCGAATTAACATGTCATTTCAACCTGCAGCTTGCGAATTAGAAAAAAGATCATTAGCGTTGGGCGGACGTTGAAAGGATTTCGGAATTGACAAAAAGAATTGAATTGAAAGACTCTGAAAGAGATGTTTCTGAACTTCACAGAGTTCTTTACTTTGATCATGATTAGATGGGTTTTGCTTGATGTGAACAAATGTTGCTCGTGCGCGACTAAATGATATAGTTTCATTGTCATTAATATTTTTATTAAATTTATAACTGCAGTTCATTTTTAAATCTGTGTTTCTCAAGTTTAAAGATTACATTTCACAGAAATAGAGTTTTATGCTTCACTGACAACCAATAGTTACAAATTCTCATACTCAAAGTTTTGTTTTTGTTCCAGCCGCTCTATCCTGTTTCAGAGGTACCGTCAACTGATGGCCAAATGGCGAGGCCAAAGAGGTAGTAGAAGGGGAAGTGGAAAGAAATATGGAAGAGGCAGTGGAATGGAAGGTGGAAGGGATGCTGGAAGATGGGATGGAAGAGCTGGTACAAGAAGAGGAAGAATAGAAAATGGAACGTTGGGTCTTGGTGGCGACGGAACTCCAAGAAACCAGTTTGAGGTTAAGTTAGGATTCACGGAACTTCAAGCCCTGGAGACCAAAACCCCGGACGAAATCACCCTCCATTTAACATCGAGTCGATGTTTCCAAGCCACGGAGTATTTATTCAAACAGCAGTCAAAAATGGAAGATCAGTGGATTGTCCTGATCGTGAACATTGTTACGAAAGCCTGCGACAGCAGCTCCAAAGAGGGTCTGTTGAAGCTACTAAACCTGCTACCAGGGTCGTCGTTTCTCAATTTGCAACTCAGACCATACCTGAACAAGCTATCTGTTAACAGCTGCAGCTTACCTCCTTCTGACGTCGCGGTAGTTTTGAGAAATGTTGTGAAAATAATGAACGAATTGCTCCGAAGATTCCCGAGCTGTTATGCTGATCTTCCGTTATCCGACCTGTACTGTGGAACAAGAATGCTGTCTGACACAGGACAGTTAGCAGATGATGCCCTCGTGACGGAGGTGGATGAAATAATGAATTTGAGAATCCAAAAGGCCGAGGAGTTAAAGAGGAAGGAAGAAGAACGGCAAAAAAGAAGGAAGCCTCGCAGAGATGGTAAGATGACAACGTTTATGAAGTATTCCCTTTTTCAGAGGTTTTTGTCTGTCAATAAAATAAATGAACTTTCACTTCAGTATGTACTGATAAAACATATTTGGATTTTCTTTAGCTGGAGTGAACGATGATGTAAATCCACCGGAAAATTTTCGTAGGCTCTCTGTTGTTCCAACTCAGGAGGACATCTTGTCAGGAGGACGACCCTTCCTCAGAAGGAACAAAATTGATGGAAGCTACAATGACGTGGAACATTATTTGGACGTACAATTTCGACTCCTTCGTGAAGATTTCGTGCGACCCCTTCGTGAAGGGATCACGCAGTTGATGGAGCGTTTAGGCTCTGCTAAAATAGATGCCTATCAGGACATTCGTCTGTACAATAACGTTCGGTTGTTGTATCCTGTATGTACGTCCAACGGTCTCCGTTACCGGATCAAGTTTGACAACTCCAAACTCAGGCATGTACGCTGGGAGAACAGCAAACGACTCATCTTTGGTTCGTTGATGTGTTTATCCAAGGACAATTTTGAAAGTGTTTTGTTTGCCACCGTGGCTAACCGGGAGCTTTGGAGCATAAGACAAGTAAGTTACAACACAATATAGAATACATGTTTATGAGAACACAATTAGCATTTTATTGGGTGCCTGTGTCCTCGGTAAGCGGCAATGTTTCCGAAAGACAATTGTTTTTGGAACGTTTACCCTGTGAAATAAAAACCTCTAAGGATGTGATTATTTGGCGGTGAAGCTAAGTGAAAATGAGCTCGCCAATTGTCACAGCACATGTATAATTCAAAGGTGTCGTTTACCACCATTAGAAAGACAGCATTTGATTTCTCTGTTTTTCGTGTACAACTTGTGAATATTGTAGGAGACCAGATTTACACTTTTATAAAGGCAATCATCAATTATGCGATGCCAGTGCAAAAGAAGGCTTTGAATATCGTGTACGTCGTTATCGGGAACGGCAAACACCCATAAACACAATGTTAAGTTCTTTACCCCTTCCTGCCTTTCCTGTCTAGACTTGCTGTTATGTACTTTTACCTTGGTGTTAAAAAGCGACAATTGCTCCTTTCTAGGGTATGGTGGACATTCAGTTCATCGGAACATATGATTTCGAGAAACTTGAAGAAAGTGACGTGTATCAGATGGTGGAGAGCACTGCCTTCTTTGAAGCTTATCGTCATGTGCTTGAGGGATTGAAGGAAAGTACTCCCGGAGAATTGCCTTTGCAGGTGACTAACGAAACCTTTCTCACGTTTCATAAGTACATAGTTTTCCGTTAAACATAGAGTCATTTGGTTTGTTATTTACATGCAACCATGTGACGCATAAAGTCAAACGGTACTAACAATCTCTCCATCTAGTTACTTAGCTTGGTTCCATTTAAGGTTTGAAAAGCTGCTCCAGTTCTGTAGCTAACCATTGGAGATAGTGACTATTTTTTTTCAGACAGAACTTTTGTTTTCTTATTTGCTTTGTTGTCAGCCTCTACGGCTGCAGNTATGAGAACACAATTAGCATTTTATTGGGTGCCTGTGTCCTCGGTAAGCGGCAATGTTTCCGAAAGACAATTGTTTTTGGAACGTTTACCCTGTGAAATAAAAACCTCTAAGGATGTGATTATTTGGCGGTGAAGCTAAGTGAAAATGAGCTCGCCAATTGTCACAGCACATGTATAATTCAAAGGTGTCGTTTACCACCATTAGAAAGACAGCATTTGATTTCTCTGTTTTTCGTGTACAACTTGTGAATATTGTAGGAGACCAGATTTACACTTTTATAAAGGCAATCATCAATTATGCGATGCCAGTGCAAAAGAAGGCTTTGAATATCGTGTACGTCGTTATCGGGAACGGCAAACACCCATAAACACAATGTTAAGTTCTTTACCCCTTCCTGCCTTTCCTGTCTAGACTTGCTGTTATGTACTTTTACCTTGGTGTTAAAAAGCGACAATTGCTCCTTTCTAGGGTATGGTGGACATTCAGTTCATCGGAACATATGATTTCGAGAAACTTGAAGAAAGTGACGTGTATCAGATGGTGGAGAGCACTGCCTTCTTTGAAGCTTATCGTCATGTGCTTGAGGGATTGAAGGAAAGTACTCCCGGAGAATTGCCTTTGCAGGTGACTAACGAAACCTTTCTCACGTTTTATAAGTACATAGTTTTCCGTTAAAGATAGAGTCATTTGGTTTGTTATTTGCATGCAACCATGTGACGCATAAAGTCAAACGAGACTAACAATCTCTCCATCTAGTTACTTAGCGTGGCTCCATTTAAGGTTTGAAAAGCTGCTCCAGTTCTGTAGCTAACCATTGGAGACAGTGACTATTTTTTTTCAGACAGAACTTTTGTTTTCTTATTTGCTTTGTTGTCAGCCTCTACGGCTGCAGGGGATATGGACAACTGCAGCGCCAAGATAGCAACAGTACTAATATAAGACTGAATAAAGTAGTCTAGTTGTGGTAACGAAATCAGTTTCCTATATACCCTGACTTTAAAACTTGACAGAAAATCCCCACGTTCACCTCTGAGCTCACCATCGTATTCTGTGCATCCCTCCAAAACTCCACTAAAACGTATCACGAATATTTTTCTTTGGTCCCGCTTTTTTTAGTATGGTAATGTTACTTTACGTTACAATGTGCTTCTCTTAAAACAGAATTACATCGTAAATTGCAAGAAAGAACTTGAACCACCCACCTATTTGAAGAACGGGCTTCAAGGACGAGTGACCTATGATCTCTCGCCCATTATGAAGACGACGAGGTGGGATACTAGTAGTACTGTGGGCAAAAATTGGAGGAAATGTCACATTTTCTCCGATTTGGGCCTGCTGTTGCGTCTACGGGCAAATGAAAACAGTAGGCTCATTTATTATCCATTCACTATGAACTTGGTTAATTCTTTATACACCTTCAATCGCAATTGATATGAATTTCGATGATGCGCCCGCGTTTTTAAAGTGGTAGACATTCTTCAGCACAAGTAGGGAAATAACTGATTCGATTTTTGCATGGTTGTAGCGAGATCTAGCGAGCTAAATGCTGCCAATAGTTTGATTCCTGGCCTAGAACTGGAAAACGAAAGTTAAGATTACTGGACTGACTGAGTACCTCGTTCTCCTGCGATGTATTTTATTCCTATTCCTTACGATGTAAGAGCCTGGAAAAGAATGAGATAATTTTGTTCGCGCCATGTGAGGTAAATGAGTGCCTTGCAGTAGCAAGGTTTTGGTAAGCATGCTTAAGCTAATGGATTGTCACGCGAGTTTTAAAGACCAGTTACAAGTGAGAGTCATTGTCAAAAGAAATGGTATTGAAATATTGCTTTTCTGCAACAGTTGCCGTAAATTTAAATCTTTGAGGAAAGATTTTGCACGCCTGGACATTACAGTTAACTTGAAGGGCAAGTCTCGAAGAGGTGATCAAAGTTTTTTTTATTTGATTAATTATTCTATTAATAAGTAACAAATGACAGAAATTATGCACCAGTAGGATTAACATCTCTTTTTGACCATTGACACGATCATAAATTATCTTGCCATGATTTTGTATCAGGTAACGTCACCAGATAGTATAGCATTAATGAACTGCATGTTCTCATTGACGCCGTTTACGTAGTGGTAATTGTGTGCTTTTATAGCGCCGTACCCTGATTTTAGTTTTGACTGAAGTAAACACGACCGATGCTTCTGTTTTGAAACACTTTCCCCAGTCTTACTGAACACCTCTTCCTTTTTATTTTGTCTTGAGCACCTACTGCTGTTCCACTCCTAAACCTGGCCTGTTGGCCGTCCGCGGAAGATCTCGGTCTTGATGACTCTCAGTTCAGGGCGCTACAAATGGCGCTGACTAAAGAATTCGCAGTCATCCAAGGACCGCCAGGAACTGGAAAGACATATATTGGGTTGAAGGTGGATTAGAATGGGCCATTTGCGAGTTGCTTTTTGCCTCTGTGTCAAAACAAGTCTTTGTGTGAAACCATTCATATGAAAATGAGTTCCGCCTACAGGTTCATTTTCATGCAAGTCAAACTCATTTTCATATGAAAGGTTTTGCGCGAGGAGTCGTTTTGAAACAGAGGCGCAAGGTTACTCGGAAATGGCCTGTTGATAATAGTTCAGTTTGATGTTAAACATAAGGAATATCTATTCGTTTTTCTCCTATAAGAGGGAAATTAATCGCAACAGTAATTCATTGCGGTACATGAAACAAAAACCGTAACTGTAACTGTAACCAAACCATAACGGAAGACAGAATCTCAGACTTTAAACTCATGAAACATGGGTCAGTAAAAACAATACAATTAACAGTTTCTTCAACAGAAATTGACAAGGTAATAAAATAGATATTGTTTCACCCTCGACTTGTTCTGTGAGAGTGATGATATTGATAAAACAATAGAAGAGCCTACATCTGGGGGTCTTGCAGTCGGAATGGGTTAAGGACGTTCGCGCGAATTGTTTCTGCGCATCCTTACTGCGCACGCAAATTCACACGCCACGTCATTCAGCGGGCGCGCGCTCTAAGTAATAAAATGAACAATGATAGGGCAGATCGCCATTGCTATAGCTTTGACTGGATTTAAAGATCTTGGACGTTCGGTGACCCCTATTTTTCTTTTGATGGATCATTTTCTCTACCAATTTTCTACGTTTAGCAAAAAAATGAAGAAAATCTATCGATTAGAAGTTTGAGTTTTTTGCAAAATGCATCATCGAATTCCGTTCTTTTTAGCTCCTCGTTTATCTGTGCGGCGGTTTCAACTGCCTTTTAGGGTAAAGTTTTGTGAAAACATTGGCAACATTTGGAATTATTAACGCAATGGAATCACTTATACAAAATATTACTAGTATAGATTCGTCTTTGATATTTTAAGCTAAAACCCCTGGAGACCATGCTGATTTACGCGCGCCAATTTTTAAAAACCAGACTAGTTTTCCACACGCGTTATCTCTGAAACGAAGTCCGTGACCCCTGATTTTTCTGATACAAGTAATTCATTATCTATCCGAAGTAGAAGTTTGAAGAAAATCTATCGAGAAAAACATTTTCGCGCGAACGTCCTTAAACCAGGGGACTTGTAACTGTAATTGTACATTATAAGGATTTCTATGGACCTTTACCGCTACTGAAGATTCCTATTTGAGGCCGTTTGAAATGTATGATTTTTTTAAAAGGCCTTTATAGCGTTGCTCATGATCATACGAGCAAAAACCTGAAGGACGAACTTTTTTCTTGCAGATTGCCAATGTACTGCTACATAACAAGGAGAAATGGGACACTGATAGAGACCCTGGTGATGGAGCTAAGCATCGCCCAATCCTGGTTGTCTGTTACACAAACCACGCGCTCGATCAGTTTCTAGAAGGAATCCATCAGTTTCATCCTAAGGGGATTGTCCGAGTTGGGGGAAGGAGTCAGAGCGAGACTATGAAGGCCTGCAGTCTGTCGCAACTGAAGCACGAAATGCACGAGGTGAGGGTGCACATTCAAAACAGTCTAGGTAAGCACCCTCCCCCCGCCGGAGGGGAGCGGAAATCTCATAAAAAAGTACGTGGGTACTCGTCGGATATTTTTAAAAGAACCCCTAAGTAAGAGGTACCAAGATTCTGTTTTGCGGGGGTGGCTTGAAATTTTTTTCCACTCCTATGAGGTACCAATTCTAAAGCAACACATGAGCTGACACTGACTTTTTCTCGGTTTAATACCCCAAAATTAAGGTATCGTGATAGCTCCTGGAACCTTGGAATCCTTTGAACAATTCGAACTTGAACAATTCCGAGAGACACTGTGGATACTTTTCATGTCTATCAACACGGAAGCCTATTTGTGTGCTGAATTTATTTGACCGTTTTCCAAACTTTGCTTCCTTCACGCTAGTTTCATTAAACATTTGAGGCGTTTTTTGTGAGGGTTACTGACCATTTCCTTCACTCACCTTGGACCCTGCTTCACTGCTGCTTGATGCTGATTTCTACCTTGCGTGATAAAGTTGTGGAACTAAGTATGGTAACACAACGGCTGATAGAGAGAAGTCGGAAACACCTGACTGTTAAAAAACCGCGAGCCAAAGTTGTTTCGGTTTCTGATCGAACTAGACGCCCTAAGAGCGTTCACTCGGGCTCCGAACCACAATCTCAAATCGTACACTTCGAAGTTCTGTTTAAGACGATTCTTGATTTTTTCAACATCTGAGTTGTTCTTCTCAGTATCATAGTTTGTTTTTAAGTCAGTAGTCATAGCTTTTTGTCAGTGTTTTTCCTAGATTGAACTCATACATGGCCATGCATACATGGCTCATTTGTTATCGAACGAACATGATCTTTGCTTATTTGGCAGGATTTTAAGCAATATAATTGGTGTACCGACCTGTTCTGACAACGATCGACAGTACAAGTCGTGATTCTTTGCAAAACTGTCTTCTCAAAACGCAGCATTCTGTATATAACGTTCATGTTCACGAAGAGTGAGAACACGATAAAGCAAGCTGACAGCTTGCTTTAAGTTGCTACTAATTAAGAAATAGTAAACATGTATCGTGTTTCTATCGAGTTCTAGAACCACTAGTGGAAGCCAAAATGTTTAGGAGAACGAGATATGTTGTGGGATCACGAGCCGACGGGTGAGTGTTTCCACAGTTTTTTCGAGTCCTCCCAAACTTCCACGAGTGTTTCTATAGCTCGATAGAAACGGAGAGAACGTTTTCTATTTTTTTTCGAAAATTCCGCAACGGAAAGAAGAAAAGAATTTGTTTACTTTAAATATCAAAATTTAAGCTCTCTTTGCTCCCGCCATCATTACGTCGACCAACAGCTCGGGCTAGTTCTGTGTTTCTATCGAGTTACAGAAGCACGATGTTAAACCAATCAGCACGCGCATTTTCTTTGAGCAATTTTCAAATGGCTGATGGTGTACGATAGCTCAGTATGAATAATTCAGCTAAATTTCTGAAGAGACAAGGATGGGGAAAAGGTTTGAAGTTCGTTAATGAAATATTCAATGATAGCGGTGCGACTGTGTCCTGTTACATGAAACTTTTGAACTTTCTCTCTGCTTGATAGCGCGGGCAAGTTCCCCGTCACATCAGAACGGCGTTTTATGAGGCTCATGTGCTAATGGACTACACTATGGAAAAGTTACATGCTGAAACGCAAGCTTTACAGAAATGCCATGAAAACGTTCTTCATGAAGATGAGATGCGTTATCGCGCCCAGAGCATGACGGCCGCTCATTACGAGTCTTTGAGGCAGCCTTTTGGTGAAATAGCAGGGCATAAATGGAGTGCTATGTTGCAGTGGCTACAGCTGTTTGTGAATTCAGCCAATCTGGGAGGTAATGAGCTCAATTATGGGAAGAAAAAAGGCTAAATATATCAGAAAACTAATACAAAAAAATATATACTTTTTTATCTGGCTGCCGTTTCGGCGAGAAATAAAAATATTCGGTTTTTTATCGGTAGCAGAGGAGATATTGGATTATGTGTGCACCTGTGAGTCGCTTTAAGTCTCTATTACGTTTAACGTATTGTTTTTGTCACTTTTTTTAATGCATATCTGAGTTGCCGAAAATCCTCACATTCTGTTCAACATCAGAAAGGGGTTTCAGTTTTCTTATACCGTACACAGGGACATTTGTTTCGAGCAAGCTTCGGGAACGTAACTGAGAAATTTAACCCCTGTTTTTGAAATTTATACAATCTTTAAATATCTTCTACTCAAGGTTTTTCCTATGGCATGTACTGGATTGCAAAAGATTTCACTCCAGATAAATCTGAATAATATTCCTCAGTGTAGCCTAAGGGAAATAGCCTTTTGGCCTATTACCATCGACTATTACAATCCGTCTATATTACTTTATTCACTAAAATAACACAGATCCATAACAAAAACACAATGCTTGCTGCAAAACAGTCTTATTTTCTTTCAGAAGTAAGAACAAATTACAGACTATTCAATATAAGATTTCAAGGTCCATTGGTACGGAATTCCATCGATTAATATTTGAAACCATCTTTTTTGTCTTTGTTTGTTTGAAAAGAAAATGAAACACCACTTTATTAAAGATTAATAGATATCTGTACATCGCTCTTCCTGGTTAAAAATACCGTTTAGCAATGTAAGTGTGTGTGTGTCTGTATTTTTTATATTTGTTTGTTTTGTGTCCCTCAAGTCACCTAGACGTGTAAAAATAACTTTTCTTTTAATTGGCTGTCTGTCATTTTCAATTCTTAGGTTATTTACGGTAGCCAACACCCGTATCATTTTTAGTTTTACTCTATAACACTGAAATAGCCCATTCCCGATTTGCCATCAGCCTCTCTATCAAAGCAAGGCCTGGTGCACAACCGTTCATATATGAAAATGAGTTTAATTTGCATGTGAATGAAATCTCATTTTCGTATGAAAGGATGGGCACCAAGACTCGCCTTGAGAAAGTGGCTAAAGGTAATTCGGAAATGGCCTAATTCTAACCCTGGGGTGGAATATAGCAAAAACGAAATTCATTCATTGTTTTCCTTATCTATCAAGAAGGGTCTTCAATGTTAGCGGAAGCGGAAGTAGAAGAAGCAGAGCCACTAGAAGCAGAAAATGAAGGGGACGATGACGATAACGATGAGAACCCGGATGTGCTGTACGAAGCGAATGTTATGAAGGATCAGAGAATGCTGGACGATGATGATGTTAAAGTGCTCGGCTCGAAGTCAAAAGGAAAAACCAATACACAGCTAAAAGTTTTGAATCCGTTTGTTTGTATTGGGGAAAGTGACAACCAATGGCAAATACAAAGGGCTCATCGACTAAAAAGAAAATTAAAGAGGACCATGATTCACGAACTGAGGAAAAAGGACGTCATGCCAAATGACAGAGCGAAAATGGTAAGAAAGGTTAAAGGAGCTCAGTCACGGTTTGCGCATATTGAAAAGTTTAGCCTCAAGTTTTCAAATTCATCGTTTGTAATCCGTGTTAATCTTCTCCATCCTTAGCCATCCTTGTTCCTTTATGGTTTATCATTATTTCTTTGGTGTTTTTCTATCTTATTAAACTGTTATTTTCAGGTTTCCTACCATTTTAAGGTAATTTTGTATGTGGCCAAAGTAACTCAAAATATCGTGACTGAGCTCCTTTAAGATTATGGAAGGGAAAGGAAATGGCTATGACGTTTACTAGCCTATCGGTGCTTGTTTGGTAGTCTACCTCAGTGCTGGAAAAA